GGAGGGGGGGGGGAGGATAGGGAGAAAGGGAGGGAGATGGCAAAGTGATTCAGCAGGGCCTGACTATCGCTTGTCCGATCTTTACTCAGGAATTATTTTTAACCTCTCTATATTTAGCATCTTTGTCATTGACTTTAGTAAAGGATTACTTACATTATTTACCGGGTTTTAATCAAATATTTCCAAGTGAAAATAGCTAACGAACGGGGAGATTTTCAATGTCAAAATAATCCCTTTCATTAAAATTGACAATTATGAAAAACGGGAGGAATGCTGCTCCTCTAAACAATCGATTGGTGTATATTGTGGGACTTAATATTTTCTAGAAAATAATGGTTAAATTTAAAAAAAAACGAAAAAAATAGATAGAGTCGAATAAAAATATGAATTGATGGCTTGAAAAGGTACTCTGATAACTTTGAACTATTTTTTTGCCGAGTTCATGAAAGCGGTTCACAATAAATCAACAAACCCAATAATTTTTGTTTAATAAATAGACTCAATAATTTCGAGAATACGACTAAATAATAACTAAGAAATGTCAAATAAATTTATTGAACTCAAAATATCTTAAAAGCCTTTTTTTTATCTGATTAATATCAAAATCGGCTTTAAAGGTGGCTTAACCAACCGATTAAACCAATTTAACCTTGATTTAGTAATATCATAAGTAAAAAATTAAAAATTTATCTTATTACTTTAATTTCAGATAAAAGTAAGGATATTAAGCATAGCTTAAATACTTGAACGAAAATATGATCGAATACTTGGTATACTCACTGCATGTGGTGTATTCATGGGTCGGCTAGTAGATCCGGATTCTATTCCTGCGTCGGAAGAGTGTTCGATGGGGTAGCGATAATGGGCTTGATGTATGGAAGACTTGGAGGTATCCTGATTGTCGCCGATCTCAACAATTGAGCCGGTGGCGGCGTCGGCCTCTAAGCAGGCTCTGCTTCCTCCTCTCGCGGCAACTATAGCAGTATCCACCACGGCCAATTGCATTGGCATGGTTACTGACAGCTCATTGGCTACACGTCAAGGTCAAGAGTAATAAAATCAGGTAAGATCTATCATCGAATAGCCAGCAACACACACACCTACGCACCAACGCTCATACACAGACGCACCAGGAGGCAAACGCATACACTGCCTTGCCTTTTCCACACGTTGTGTTGTGTGTCCTCAGTGTACTTTTACAGCAGCAGAGGTGGAGTTGGCTGAAGTACATGCCCTAATCGACTAGAGTGTTTATTCCCATACGCATCATGCGGGTGCGGTTTCACCTACCGTTCAGCTTCTCCCAACTACCAGCTATTGCCTAGTAAATACTAAAAAATGCTTCCATTTACAATACCACACCAGGTAAAAGGAATTGATTTCAGAAGGTCAATTCTTAAAAATATGAATGATGATGGAGATATGGATGGATAATCTAGTAAAATTTTATCAAAGCAAGTTAAATTAGTTTTTCTTTTAAGAGAATAAGATGATTGACGAAGCAAAAAACTGAATCTCCTCACAAAAGTGCAACCTCAGACATAACTAATGGAATCATTTGTTCCAATATGGGACACCCAGAGTAAAAAGTGGCGTATCGTCAAGGTCGGGATGACAGATTCCACATTCTCTAGGGTCGCTAAATTATCAACTTCAATGGGCTTAAGTTGTAAGTTAGGCTAGTAACTAGTGGACTTAAGGAGGAAGAGGAGGCACTTGCAGGTATAAGCATAAGAAGCTGTCTGTCGCTTGGGGAGAGAGAGAGAGAGAGGGAGATGTTTCCGAATTTTTTTCGCATGTATTAACTCCGAAAAGCCACGAAGAAGTAACTCAAGTGGCCTTGGTTACTTTTGAGCACTATGGGCTTTGCTATTAGCTTTGCATTGGCAGTGACAACTAAAGTCATGGAGAGAAAAGAGACCGAGTAACTTCAGGAATGAGCGTTCAGTTGTGGGTGGAATGCTAACACTCAAAGCTCGCATAGTCTTTAAACTCTGTTTTGATAAAAAAGAACCCACTAATACCATTCCTTAAATAGTGGTAACAACTCGCCAGTGCAATTGTTATATCGTCTCAGTTAACATTTATCAGGACTCCAGCTACTCGGAGTACAAAAGGTGGGGGGGGGGGGGGACAAGAGAAGACATACATCTCAAATGACGGACGGGCTTATTATCAATATAAACTCCCCTATACACTTTTGAATAGGCGAAAAATGATTGGCCGCCTATTTAACCAATAATTGTAGACGCAGTTTCTCCAAAGGCGCGTGGGACTTGAAAAAAATAGGGTGAATGAGTACATGCGCTATTCTCTCCCGAGTAAAACCCACGACAGTAGTCGAGTAGGCGTTTCAACAGGAATCACAACTGGCAAAGACATTTATTTGTGCATACAGCTCGGAATCCCCACATAAGTCTTCAACACTCAGAATTCTACCGGCTGTTTAAAGGATGTGATCTGTTTTGTAAAATGCAAAGTTACGAAAATTCCGACAAAGGCAAACCTTTGCTCTTGAGAACAAAATTTCGCGAAACTTCCATTAATCGCTGTTAAAGATGAGTTTCAATAGAACCCCCGAATTCGATCTCTTCCATTTCGAAATGACACCACTTTCCTCAATGAATGATATTCGGAAGGGCGTCTTAAAAAACGTGACCCCCCCCCCCGACTTCTACTTAATTCACCTACAACCAAATTAGTCTATTAACAAATCGAGTGTTTGAGGACAGGGTTAAAAGTTTGCAGTTTTGTCAAACTGCTTTACAGCGAATTGGGAATGCATAACACGCCTTAGGAATTGCCCCAACAGACTTCTGGAATTCAGGTTAACAATAATAGAAATGGCGAACTCAGAGTTTACTTTTGGCATCCAGAATCCAGGTGTCTGGACATCATGGGTCTAACTTCAATCATTTACATCCAATGGCAGAAATATTTTGAAAAGTGGTTGTCAGACATTGCATAACTCGGAATCTCGTTCAGGATTAGGGAATGCTATACATATTATTTCGTGTTAAAGACTAAAGTTTAAGTATATAGGTATTAATATTTCTGAAAATTGTTAGCCAGTGAAAGTAGGACAAACTTGTTGACAATGTGCGAATCTTGAAAATTTCTCGAGAAAATGGGATCACTAGTGCTCCCTCTAAGACCCATTTCGCAGCAACACACGGAGGCGCCATTACCTCATTATGCATACAAGAACAAAATCAACGCGCATCTCACAGAACCAGTAAAGTCAACTAATTAGTTGACGGGCGCTTAAATACCCCCCCCCCCTCCCCAACCCAACATGAACCCACCAGAAATCCAGAAATTAATCAATGAAAATTGAGAGCATTAAGACCTAATTGACATCCTCATAATTAAATTGGGCATTTATTGACTTGTTGAATGCAAACAAAGGACGATTTTTAAACACTCTAACTTGGTTGACTTTGGTTATGGCCCTGCACTGAACTACTTTGCAGTTTCTCGTGTTCAGATACCCTCCCTTGGTTGAAACATATAAAAGCGTTTTTTTTCCCAAGAACTTTGATTGATAATAATCTGAAGAAGAAATGAAGTTTCAATTTAAAAAAATAACTAATTGAAATAAGAAGTCTTATGTCTATTACGTAGACGCTAGAAGAAGACATTTTCAGCGTTCCACTGGATTGTGGCAGGTGAGACACGATTGCGTACCCAAGGACGACAACATTTACCACAGCCATAGGTGATTATGCCAAACCTGGAGTTCGATATTTATTGGTTGACCGACATGACAAGATGGCATAATTCTAGAGTCTGAATAGAACGCAATGCGTCATTAGAAGAAAAGCCGACGAAACAGAGCACATAATCCCCATGCTAATAGCTTGTCTCGGAGGGGGGGGGGTAGGGGGGTAATCAGTTCCCTCCCATCATCCTTATCATGATGAGGATTCACACTTAAATCTTAGAACCTCACAGGTATCTTGGACTAACGCGGTACTTTGATCTCTGAGCATCAATGATACAAAGCCGACCACCTATAGTCCCATAAAATGTATTGGCCTAAATGCAGTCCTCTCTCTCACCCGCCTGACTCTGAGTTGACTGCAGGTAAAGAACATTTGATGAGAAGCAGAACTAGGTCTCCCTTCCTTCCAAGGGGATAGACTTCCACAATAGGAAATAGAAAAGAGCGAATAAATAGGAGCGTCACCAATACGCCATCTTTCAAACCTGTCAAAGTCAGGTATGCGCATGCTTCTGCTTGAAGAATGTCTATTTATGGAGAAGAGATTAATTTTTCACATTTTTTTTCCTAAAATAGCCAAGCATCTACTAATTTATTAGGCCTTTAATTAAACGACCTTTGGAATAGCACTGATCAAAGAGAAATACGAAATTTGAACAAAAAGGCCTTGCATGTATAGACCTTCCGACAATTTTTTGAGAGAGAGAGAGAGAATAGCAAAGACTGGGAAGCTGAAGTAAAACAACAACAACAACAACATTTTACTCAAAACCAATCGATAAATTGCATCTTTAAGTTCATTTAACCCACAATATTATCTCTAGTGCAGACTGCAGACAGTGAAGAGTTGGGAGTCATCGAATAAGAGGGCGGAAAATAGTGAATTTGATTTAAATAGGAGAATAATTCAGTGTCTTGAAATACACGAGAACGATAACTTCGAATTTGACATCGAATATAGGGACAAAAAGAAGGAAATGAATCTCCGCATGGGTCCATTTTCAAAACGAATCTGCACACGCCTTCAATACTTCAGTTATAAGATGTGGAATTGATGAATAAATAGCTCGCCTGGAATTGGAAAGAGTTTTAAGGCTGGATGGTTAATCCTCATCTTTTCTCAACCGATTATATCGACACTAAGTGGTGTGCGATAGACTTGCCTCCACGTGGAGCAACCTGGGCAACCTATACTCATGGGACGAAAAGGTCTACAAACGTGCAGTTGACTGCTGACTTCAAACTACCATGACCCCATTGTATGTCGTATTCGACCCCTTCCACAGTAATCACCTTACCCTACTCTCTGCCTTTGTGTCTATCTGCCTCTTTTACATCTATGAATGACTCTTTCGTTACCCTTCTCGACTTGTTCCTACTTTGATGTTCCTCCTCCTCCCCTCTGTGAAGCCTGAAGTCAACTAAAGGCCTAATGATAACCATTAAAACGCCTGCCACCTGATATAAAGACCAATCGAACCATTAAAACGCCTGCCACCTGATATAAACAAACAAGTACCGTGACTAATATTATGCAGACCATGTTCCTGCAATTAGTATATTGATATGCAAACTGGTTCAAAATTCTTCACAGTAGATGAATACAACCCATATAATATGAGCGCTGGCTACATTATTAGTAAAAAATGGTATTTTTTAAAAAAAAGTGTGCGAAGTATATGCTATCGTACGACAGTGAGTCGCAAAACCGATGAAAGAGTTGCCTGGATCAGTGTTACGATCGTAACGAGTCTCACTTCGTTTAAGTTTTTGACTTCAACTTGTGCAATATTTACCCCAATGGGCAGTTCACTACAAAATTCAAATTTAAAATTCGTTTCTTCGATTGTGGTAAATGCTTGGTTCATTACTGGCCAGTATTATTTAAGCCTAATAATTAGAGGGCTATATGTCTTCAATACACTTTGGTTTTCAAGTATTTACACAATGAAGTCCATTCCAAATTTTCACCGCCAGGCCATAATTAGGAGATCTGACTCTTGGTCAATGAAAGAAATCGCTCATTTATAGAAATAGTACCAACTGGGAATGGAATTAGGAATTTCAAGCAAACACCGATGGAAAGTAGTAATTATCTTAAGCCAATTGAAGGAGCTTCCTGTGTGTGATACGATTAATCCAACTCAAACTTACCTGATCAGACACATTAGTTCCTTTTGCAGACTCAGGTGTCAAAATCATACCACCCTCATTTAAATTCAACTGAGACTAAATAAACAGACAATAATTACAAAATGAAAGTTTTAGGAAGTTCAAGTTTCCAAAAAAACTGACTAGAGGAAAATGACATACAATCGGGCTTGAATTCAGGGAAATCAACACACACACACACAAACACACACACAGACACACAAACACACACACAAACACACACACTCACACACACAAACACACACACATACAAACACACACACACACACACAAACCCACACACACACAAACACACACAGACACGCACACACACTCACACACACACACAAACACACACACACAAACACATACACAAACACACACACAGACACACAAACACACACACACATACACACACCAATCAGCTCTGCTATGTCTAATTTATTTTAGGTATTGAAGGAGAAAAAATTGTTCCAAATAAATTTTGGTTTGAAGTCAGGATATCTCGAAGATGGAATTGACAACAATATGTGGTATTTTAAGAGGGATCTTGCTAAATGTCATCTAGACGACTTTCAATTTTTCCTTAATTCGGCTGGATTAGAATCCTCTAGAAAGTCGTTTAAAAGGAGGTTTAAATGACCTTGAGATTATAAGACTAAAAAAAACTTTCAAACTCCTCGAATTCCTCTCAAAATTTCAGTGTGTGTTCGCGGTTTTTTTTCAACCCCAACCTTTCAATAAATTAGGTCGAACTGTAATGGTAAAATGGGTGTCGGATAATGGTGCAGTTTTCGAAAATTGAATTTAAATAAATTTTTGCGAAATTAGTTGCACAAAAATCAATAGCCATAAAAATTCAAACTGTAACGGCTTCAGGCCAATCTTCGCCTAAAAGTTCTTCTTCTTTGGCAACAGCGGCCACTGACTTCATGGTTGCCTCGGCTACAAATTGGCTGAAACCGAGATGTGAAAATAGCAACTAAGAAATTTTAATCTTAAAATTTGCAACTAAATCGACATGATAAGTTGAATACTTTGAAAAAAAACCGTATATTTTCCAAAAATTATTTTCAAAAGGGTGTATAAGTGTGTGTGTGTGTGTGTGTGTGTGTGTGTGTGTGAAAATGAAGCGAGATTTTATTTCAGTAGTTGAGAAGGCTGTCACTTGGACTACCAACGTCAACAAGAGAGCGTGTTATCTTACCTGACGGTTTTGACAAGAGCACATTTAAAATAGCATGTGTAGTGAGAAGCGCTAGGTCTAATTTTCTTGGCTGATGAAGCTGAGTAATAACAACCATGAAAGCTCATAAATTCAATACAAGAAGATTAATTTCGTTATTCTTTTCAAGAAATCTCCTTATTTGTATAAAAGTAAAAAATTTGGGCAATTATTATCATTATTTTTCTTCAAAAAAGGTAAATATGTAGTTGAAGATACAGGAAAGTGCGCACGTGCTGCCAATTTCAGGCATCTCAATCGATCAGCGATCAATATGTTTGTGCGGTGCAGAGTCAATTACTGACCACTTAGGCAGTAAGTTCTCTTCACACGTTATCTTCAATGTTCTTGCATGCCAAAATTCGGGGGCAACTTATATTGCAGCACACAGCTAGAGGTTAGTTTTACTTGCCTGCAATTGGAAGGACTTCAACATGCATCACTAAGATGCATGTCTGTAGTGTCCATTGGTAACTCAGAAAGACTTCTATTCTTCCAATTTACCATTTAATCCATCCAACTTTCACCCTACTGCTGTGCCGTTCATTTCCTTTACCTCTAAATCATTTTTTTTCACATTGGCCAAAATTTTATTAGAATGATTTTAGTTAGTCATTAACTTTTTAGAAGTTGATCCAGAAAATTTTCTATTTACCATACTATCATGTAAATACTGCAGCAACCTCCTCTCATAATACCCTCGTTCACGCAAATGCGAATAGAGAATTAGCTTTGTTTGAACGCAGTATTCCACGACACACTGACTGGGAAAGCTAACTGCCAAAATACTCGCTACTTTGATACCATCATTAAATATTGGTTGAAGGGTAAAGCCTGAAGCACTCATTTAATTTCTAGGAAAAAAAACAAATGATTACAGGGATATTAACAATGGGCTCTACGATGCTTGGTTGATAAGATCATCATTTATAACTGCAGGATTTCCTCTGCAGCCAATAGGAAGGAGTCTTCATTCTGGTCTTTTTATCTCCTGCCACACCCCTCCACCTACGCCCAGGAATTTTTGGATTGGAAAACAGAAGAAAACCAGTAAGAAAATGTTTATGCAAGTAAATATATATATATATATATATATATATGTGACCTTGCCATTGAAATGCACAGAGCCTACTTTTCTCAACGACAAGAGAGATGTTTAAGTGAAGTGAAAATCTGGTAGAATGAAGCAGGCATTGAAAAGTCAAGTCACTAATATTAGGATCAAAATAAGTCCACTTTCCGAAATACTTTTTACTTTAGTTGAAGGGCCAAATGACAGTTTAAAGATCCCCTAACCACTTGATGTGACCTTTTAGACGAGTGAAGTGCAATGAATTCCAGAACATTCCACAACACTTGCTCAACCCTATTACGTGTACACATTTTCCATTGGCCCTTTCAAAGCGCCCCCTTTAAAGCAAAACTTCCAACTTCATGCATACTTTATGGGTAGGAGAGTTAGTTGCGTTGGGCTTTAAAAGCCAAGAATCGAGTTAGATTCAATCACCTCAGTTGTGGTAAGAAGGCGATGTAATCGCAAATGGTTAATTAAATGTGAGTCAGATAACCAACGCAAATGTGACCTTACATCAGTCGGCTCTCACAAACAGACGGTGAATACATATTCGTGCATTTTAAAATCATAGATCGGAAAAGAGCCAAGAAAGAAGAGAGAGGGGGAGGGGAGGGAGACTTGCCGTTAACAGGTACTTCCTCGGTGAAGGATTGAAGGAAAGAATTGTTGGGTTCAAGGACGGCTGTTAGATGGAGATGGAGTTGGGTCTTCTTCTTATTTGACACTTGCGGACAACTAGCAGTCTCCGAATTAGTTACAACATCCGAAGAGGGCGGTGTCTGGCAGGACTGAGAGCTCCGGTGAATCTACAGACGGGAAATGGAAAAGAATACAGAACACTCAGCAATAATATCGAAAGGAATAACCTTGGCCCACAAGAGGATGTCGAAGGAGTGAAAGTGCCAGATTCAACGGGAGAAACGGCTATCAAATCTGACCTTATCTACTACTCATGCAAAGCTATCTTTATTAGGTTGTATGGCAATAGATTCAAATTCCTTCTGAGCACAACTCGGTGAATAATGACTTGATTGGACAACAGCCAACGCTGCTGAAATCCAATATACAATGATGTACGTCCAAGTTGCACTCGAATAAATGGTTTGATTAACTTAGAATTAAACGAAAAGGAGGTGACATTTGGATAAAGAAAATTTTGGCTATTCTCATTACTGATGCAGAAGTTATGCCAGAGAATTCTTACAGTGTGATAATGAGGCACTGAAAAATCAATTGTGGTTAAGCCGAAGGTGACCCAGTAACTACTGTACTCCCTTATCTTGTAGATAGATTCAAAGAAGCGTTTCCATGAAACGCGGATGGATGGAAAAGCATAAAATCAAAAGTTTCAACGTCAAATTGAAATGGCACTTAATCGAACGATCCTGGAGATTAGATAAAGCAGACATCTCCGAAACTTTTAACTTCAATTACTTGATGCTGTCTGTTTACGTATTAAGACCAAGTCCATAGGCTCTTTAGATAGCACAGGGCTCCTGAACCTGGAAGTAGCTGATTTTCAAATGTCTCTGAGGTAAGGTCGCAAGGACACCTTCATCGACTGGTTGGGTTTTATAGAACTGACGCAACAGTGATGTATTTTCCTATTGAATTAAATGCCTATGTACTATCCCTCTGAGTTGGGATCTGGAAATGAGGCAATCGAAGGACCAAAAAAGGAACTAAAATAGGAGGAAAAAATTTCGAATTGAATTTTGTGGTGTGGCAGAGGTCGAATCCAACTGCCGAAATGCATATAACCAAGTAATGATTACCCCCCAGCCCCCACCCACCCACCACCCCCCACCCCCCATTCGTTATCCGTGGCTCAGCAACTACGGTGGGTTGGATTGCCATGTAGGCTTTTAAATTCGATCTTGAAAAAAAATGTGAAAAAGGCATTAGACCACCCATTTGACATTCTTGATAGCGCCTGAGGACCTTGAGTCTGCATGACTCGAAAAGCGTCCATTGAACGGGTATGCTTTTGGTCTAGAGACAATGGATTTCTCATCTGAGAAGAAGTAGTTTAATTGGGCTTTTTCAAGAATGTTCCACCTGCCACAAAAGCTACTTTTGCCCTTGTTAGATGACTTCACCGTGCTAACTCTTCATGACAGGGAAGGTAACATCCAGTGCTCTATGGTGACATAGGCCAAGGTGTTGAGAAATTTTTTTCTGGAAAACTTTCCCCGGTAGTGAAACTCCATTTTGTTCCGCTTTGTAAGGAGTTCGCTCCTAAATAGGACTAGTTTGATCTTCAACTGACTTGTCTAGGTTATCATAAGAAGCAATTTTTAGAAAATATACTTTTAACAGATTGTTCTCCTACTTTAATTATAATAGTCCGCTATTTATAAATCCAAAGTAGACTTCCCCTCATAACTACTAATCTAGCTAAAAAGAGAGCACTTTAAAACAACTTCTAATGGGTGAAATGACCAACAGTCTGGTAAGAACATTGGTGTCTTCGAGAATTGGAATTAAAGAAGATGTTGACGATGAGAGAGAATTAGAAGTAGAAATTCCGAAGAACTATAGGAGACATCAGTAGTGAAGAGGGATAATTCTGCATATGATATACAGATGAAGCCAGTATTATCCTCCTGAAATCACCGATGACCGATGAGTCACTTTGTGAAGGCACGGCAAAATGTTTGTTAGTCACAGTGTGTTGTCTCTAATCAACTATCTTTGGCTTTCATTTATGGATACCTTAAACGCCTGAAGCACTTGGACCTTCAGTGGAATTATGAATTTCAGGGACAGGAGAAGGATAATCCACTTTGATTGAATAGCAATTTTTATTACCTAGAATATATCTCAGCGAACCCTTATGATGAATTCCCCTTCTATATACTTGCAAAATAAAAACCTGAACAAATTTGTCAAAAGTGACTCAGTTAAGTTTTACAAAAATACTTAACAAGACTTTATCCTTCCCCCCACCTCCTCCACCTTTTACTACATAGGAATACGAGTGGATGGGATGAAATGGTTGCACAGACACTCACTTGATCAAGTTTTTGTCTCCTGGGACTAAGCTTGTCGTGAGTGAATGTTTGTGAGAAGTGACTTAGCCTCTGATGGAAGCCCGAGCGAGCGGGTGTAGCAGATGTCGAAGTGGCCGACGCTCCACTCGAGGGGGTGGCAAGGGGTGACGAGGAGGAGGAGGTGGTGGTGGCAGCGTTCCCTGCTGGAGTTGTCGTCGTCGTCGTCGTCGTCGAGGAAGAGGAAGAATTCATTGTTCCAGTCGCCACCTGTCTCATTCTCGCGAAAGTGGATCGAAGGAGACTGCTCTTGTGATGCGAAGGAGCAATGTCATGAGAAGGAACAGCAATTTCTGAGAAAGGCAAATGAAAGTTTTAGATTAATACTAAAGTACAAAGTAAGAGGTAATTTTGATAGATTAAACAGATTTAAAAGAAGTCTGACAAGGTTTGAAAACCTATCATTCTTTATAATAACTCTGAGAGAGGTTGAGCCGAATACGGACAAAATAACGAGAAGCAAAAGAAATTCCTGACAAGGCTAAGCTTTCTATTCCCCTTTAACCTTCAACTTCATGTTACTAGAACTCCAATGGAAACCTTTCCACTCTTTCTTTCATGATAATTCGATCGAAATGATTATCAAACTGCTAAATCTAAGAACTGTACTAGACAGTAAAGATTATAGCAAATTCTTCTCTCTTAAACTTGACCAAGAAATACTGGAAAAAATCGATAATTCATCCCTCACGTTTCCTCCCAATTCACTACTCAGGTAACCAATTTCCGCTCTCAATAAAATGGAAAGTTTTTTCCCTATACGGTTGGTCAACTCATTTGGATAGTCCCAATATTTGTGACAAAGCCTTCAATTATATCATCGTCTGGACGCCAACTGACGATAGTAGTAGTAGTAGTATCGTGAATTTCAGACGTTATGAAAAGTCACATGTCAATGATTTCAGATTTCAAAGCGGCAAGAACTAGTGACATTCTGTTTCCTCAGTCACCAGATTTTTATTCGAAATTTCACATATGCTGTGCCACAAGTTCTAGTAATATGGCTGTTCATTTGTAGAAGCTTTCAACAGAAATTAAAAAAACTGAAGTGTGACTAACGGGAGATTTCTATTTAATGTTGCACGTTGCTGTTATGTAAGAAATTAATTTAATTAAGCGCAAAGCAAGCTGAGTCATTTTTTTCTAGTAAAATTTTGCAATCAATTACACGGAAAAATTCTCTCCGAACATTCATTTTGACAATGTGTTCTCCAGAAAGATTACACACACACACACGCACACGCACGCACACACACACATTTCTGCAAATGCACTTTAAAATGCTGGGAGAAAAGAGCTACTCTCATTTTTGCTTTTCCATCCATTTTCCCCCAATTCAGCAGCTAAAAATAGCCCCTGTCTGGCGACTGATTGGAACTCAGGTAACACGTGACAGAACTCAAAGCTTTGTACTTTGTGTGGAAAAAGTGGAATTTCGCATTGGCTTACGCGTTGTTTATGAATGAGATCTCTTGACTGCGATATTTCTAGTGTGGATATTGATTGGAAAGTAAGACATATAACCGATTAAAATAGCGAATAAAAAAGCGGATTAATGAATGAAATCCATAGACAAATGGGGACAAAGAAACGGATGAAATATTGATTAACTCCTTCACGTCCCTGATTTGAAAGGCTATCTGGGCGTCTGTCGGTGGAGCCTCCGTTTTCTGGAAGCATTTTCTAATTTCCTCCGCAGTACTCGCTGAATAAAAACGTCACATAAATGAGCCGATAACATTTGATATTTATTTATTGGTATAAAGGTTTTACAACATTTTTCTTCATGGAGGGAATATTATTTAAATAGGGAGTTCATAGAGGAAGGAAACAGAAGATACCCACTCCATCGAAGTTCCAAATCAATTAGCTAGACTGCTTTTCAACTTTGATTTCCTCCAGGAGTATCTTGGCCTCTGAACAGAAAATCTGAGTGACAGGCCTTATGTGATGTCACTGTAAATTAATTTCATATATCTTGTGTCGGATTCATCCACCTGACAGATAAATCTACCAATTGGAAGATCGTCCTTGAAACTGTGGAGCGATCGATTCGCCAATGGCCTCTCGTCTCAATATCCATATCAAAACGTCGATATCACTAGAATTTAGCCATACTTCCATCTTCGTTTAAACGCTTGAACTAAATTTGATGACTCTAGATATTAGGTTTATACTTTTAGCTTAAATTTCCAATATATTTGGACTAAAATACTTGAAAGCCCAAAATTATAATGAGAGTCATTTAATTTTCATAAATTGTACTTTATGTACAATTGGTGTGGGCTCAAAGACGGTGGAAATTTAGTGAATACTTCTACTTCAACTAACAGATATTTCTTTAACCTGTAGGACACGTCATCGCTTAACGCGTGATCACATGTGCGCTCAACCAATGACCAATCGGAAGCCTTCGTTTGTTTAAGCGACTCTGCCATGTTGATTATGACTAGTCCCACTTTTGCCACAATATACTTTCCAAGTAAACATGTTCCATGCGATACGTCTGTTTCCTCTATAGCTGGGCTGTAGCCTGGCTAGTTCTTGGAGTCTAGGTAGATAGAGGAGAATCTGCCACAGAGATTTCTGCGTCAGTCAAGGCTTTACTAGTGTAGCAATCCGCTACAAGCCTAAGCCAAACAAGCTACCTGTATTATAAATAACACATTTTTTGAGAGAATTTAACTTAATTTATTTTGAACCTTACATTTATAGGAAGTAAATTTAATATTATTTGATTTTCAACCAACAAATAATCTATCGTCAGCAATATTTTTATCCGCAGTAACATATAACTCCCAATTTTCAATTTTGGATACAATTGAAAATGGCTAGTGAATGACAAGATGGTTAAGAACGAAAAAAATGTTGGAAAAGACCTCTGGTTATCAATGGGCCTTCCTTCACTTGATATTATTGAATCGGGTTGCCTACGATTTGCTAGACGGAACGCTGACAATCCAAAAGTTGAATTTCATGATTTGTCCCTTTGATCTTCTCAGGAAATGCTTGCCTACGATTTATCATGTTTAGCAGGCCCCCATAAATTGAGTTCAAACCGGGTTAATGCAATGTCCTCAAGTTTTATCATAGTAATACTCATCTCTGTAGAGCGCTTTTATACATGACGTAAGACCAAAGCGCCTTCAACGACTCACAACACTCGCTTAGGACGATTGATTTGAAGTTAATTTTCTGAAAGTGGAGATATAGTCCACATTGAGGAAACAAAATGTGTACAACTAGAGTGGAATAATGACATTTTTCCTAAGATGAGTAGAGAAAGGTAACAACCCGATTTGGTGCATCGACTTAATCGCACTGCACTTAGTTATGCATCAATTTGGAAGTCTCCAAATGAGAATGCACTTAAGAGGCATTTAAACAAAGGAAAATACGACTATTTTTTTGTAATTTCAAGGCAAAATTACAATTCTCCAGAAATTAAAAAGATTAGTTTCAACAAAGAGAACTAATTTTTTTTAAAAAATAAATTATTCAGTTTTAGGCTTACAATTAAAATGATAAAAAAACCTGTACATGTGTATTTCGGTCTTGGCAGTTCTCGAGTTTGCTTAGCTCTATTGAATGCGACAGATGATCAACTGGGAGATTTCGAGTATGAATTAAAATTCAATAAAAGAAAATTCGCTATTTCCAGGCGTTTGAATCTGATTTAAAAGCTCTATTATAAAGACCTACTTTTGTAAGTAATTTATATATCGAGAATCGTCAACTACTTTAATGCGCTATTGTTAGCTACTTGTAAGTGAAATAGCTTGGATTTCAAAAGCATTTTTATATGCCAAAATATGTTATATTTCGAAGAAATGGTGGAGCAATTGAATCTAGGAAAAAAATATTCTACCTCGGGGTCAGAACTAAAGTACGATGTGTGTCCTCAAAATTTCAAAACGTCTGCTATTTCGGGAGTCATTAAAATTGAGGTAAATATTCAAACAGGCCGATAGTATTTTAGCGAAAAAGCTGTTGAAATTAAAGATGGTTATTATCATATTCCATGACACTATCTAGAACCAATTCATAGCACAGTTTCAATCGATAGTCTTAATGATGGAATTAGCAAAGTGTGCAACAAGTAATATTATAATTAAATAATTAAATTTATAAGTTACATTCTGATTCTTCCTTTCCATTAATATCGGTCACAATACTTAGATTAAAAACACGCTATATATTTGAAATTTAAAAAGCTAAACTCAAATTTAATGTCTGATTGTAATAAAATAAATAGCCGTTGAATTTTTCAAGTTCATTTTTAAAGTCCTACCACTATTAATTACTAGCTTCGAAATTTCTTCTAATGAAATCAATAAAAACTATTAAATTATCAGTTTGAATGGAAGTAATATTACTTCCTCAGTACACAGTGTTTTCTATTTGTTTCAACAGCAGTTTTAAGTTTTCTACAAAAATATTTGAACGTTTAAGTTTAGAAAAAAATCTATCAACATATAGTCTATTCAAATTATAGCATGAATTTTAAGGCCATCTTAAGCTATTGGCAGAATGATACGATTGAGACATCCTTTTATAGATGGAAATAATAAATGTCAAAGTTAATTGAAAATTCTAATTCTTGCCATCCCACCTTTAAAGTCTGTTGTTCACCGTTATCTGTAAAACGCGTAGAAGTCAATATTAAAAAATATCCTTATCAGGAAAAATGCAAATAGTACTAAATTAAATTTTAGTTTTTCCATTTGAAGTATCAAGAGTAATAAAAAAGCCGATTTTTTCTTTAAAGGCGTGCAGATGACTTCCAGCCAATCAGTGATCACTATTCGGTTAGCGTTGCATTGATTATACCCAATTACCAATCCCTTTTTAAGTCAACTATAATCACGATACCTCCTGTGCTCTCAGCACTTTGAACCGAGTTAATTGACCCTGATGATCAGATTCCAGTTGTGCATACTTGCATCACGTTGGATTTATGATAGGATTAGAAAGCTTAAACACAGGGTCTTACCTTAATTAGAAGATATGACATACACCACAGCCTATTAGCAAGTGGACTGACACCTTGGACATACCTTATTTTCAATTAATGCAAAATACAAATTAAGTTAACAGATATTCTAACTGAAAAATATACGCTTAGAATACACCAACTTTGCATTACATTGATCTATATGTTGCTTCAAAATGATACGATGATTAATGAGTTAGAACTGGCAACAAGTTCGATATGACTGCCTCCACATAAAATTTTCCATTTTAGCATATTTTCGAATTCTACTTTCAAATTTATTGGAAGCAACAGAAACACCACTTTCTTATTAAATAAAAAATATCAATAGGCATAGAATATTTTCAACAATCAACTGCAGCCATCTTGAAGGCGAATCGTGGAATTGAAGCTGCGATCACGGAATGCCGTATTTGGTGAAACGCGGGTCCAACAGTCGGTGGGAGTTGGCCTCTCTGACACCTTTATGTTACTCTTGTCATTTCTTTTTCGTACTCAAGTAGAATTACATCTCTTTAACCATTTTGATAAGTTTAGTATTCTTTAGCCAAAAAATGATTTCTACTTGGGGTGGCGATTTTAATATCGTACCAGGAAGAACTATGAAAACAAAAATGACTCATTTCCTTCTATCTTGAATTTCCGCGCATGAAAAAAGCGAATTTTAGTTTTCGGAGCCGGAAAAAGAGATATTAAAAGATTATATAATTAGGATAAAAAATTAAATAAAAATATTTAATCTCTTAAACAATGTTTATATATAAATATGTGCATATGAGTATTTAGC